AGAAGAAAGAAGAAAAGAATTAAAATGCACAGAGAATATAAAGAATGAGAATCAGAGGGAGGGAGGGAGAGAGAGCGATTAATCTAAAGAGAAAGTTTTCTTTTTTTAAATCTATAGACTGGAGGGAAGATGAAGCAGGCTGCTTATGAAAGGAAGTCAGACACGCAAATAAAAAGATAAATGGAATAGAAAACAATGGAAAATGATTAAGAAAAAGTGTGTAATGAAATAAAGAACAAAACTAAATATAGAAGCAAATCAAATAGAAACGCACACCCACGCTAATACACACTGACACGCATATATAAAGAGAAAAGAAAGAGTAACACATGGGATTAGAAATAAACAAGGGAGATATATTCATTATTTATTTATTTATTTATTTATTTAGATAGATAGATAGATAGATAGATAGATAGATAGATAGATAGATAGATAGATAGATAGATATAGAACATTTCTAGATAGATAGATAAAGACCTTTTCGTGATAGATAGATAGTAGATATATACAGTTTCGAGATAGATAGATAGATAGATAGATAGATAGATAGATACCATATCGCAATAGACATATATAGACCATTTTGAGATAGACAGATAGATAAGGACATTTCTAGATAGATAGATGATAGATAGATAGATAGATAGATAGATAAACACCATTTCATGATAGATAGTAGATATAGATAGTTTCGTGATAGATAGATAGATAGATAGATAGATAGATAGATAGATAGATAGATAGATAGATACCATATCGCAATACACATATATAGACCATTTCGAGATAGACAGATAGATAAGGACATCTCTAGATAGATAGATAGATAGATAGATAGATAGATAGATAATAAAGACTATTTCGTGATAGTAGATATAGACAGTTTCGTGATTGATAGATAGATAGATAGATAGATAGATAAAGACTATTTCGTGATAGATAGTAGATATAGACAGTTTCGTGATTGATAGATAGATAGATAGATAGATAGATAGATAGATAGATAGATAGATAACGAGCGAGTTAGTGATAAATAGGAAAAATCAATACACAAAAATAGAGATACAAAATCAAAAAACAAAAACGCTGATACTGTAAATCAAAGCGAGAGAGGGAGAGAGAGAGGAGGAGGAGGGGGAGGAGGAGGAGGAGGAGGGATAAGAAATAACAAAAATACAAGCTGACCAAGAGAAAGATAGAAAGACAGAGAAAGACCAGTCAGGAAGAATAGAAGACTAAGAGATTGACAGACAAAAGAATGGTAGAAGCACAACAGAAGAGAGTTGCACACCAACGCATAAATAAAAGGAAATATAGGAAAAGAGAGAGGAGCAATGTTCATCGGAGAGAGAAAAAAAAAACGTGTAAAATCCCCCCCCACACGCTCAGAGACAGAAAGAGAGTGAGAGAACGAGAGTGGGAAAATGGGGTCATCGAAAAAATCATTTACCTTTTTTTTATGTGCCGTGTCCCTTCAGGACGTAAGTGATCATGGACCTCCACGTCCTCCTGACCCTTGTAACTTTTAATGTTTTCGCTTTTTGTTATATTTCCTAAAGCCTTTTCTAGAATACATTTACTCAAGCTCATCAAGTTATGCACTGCTTTCTCTGTACCTTTTGCTCTCTATCTGCCTTGTGAGTATCAGATTTTCTAAACCCTCCTTCCGCATTACGTGCCTCAGAAATTTCAGCTGCCTTTTTCCGATGTTAGTTATATGTGTCTTTTTTGTCTTCATTTTCTCCAAAACCTCTTCCTTGCTCACATGTTCGATCCATAGTATCCTCAGCATCTTTTTTTAGAACCACGACATCTGTTGCTTCTAGTTTGTTCTTCATCTTTGAAGACACTACCCATCATTCACTGCCATATACGATTTTTGGGCTCATCCTTTTGCTGATAATCATGCATATTGTCTTATAGTTTATACTAAATCCTTTCTTTTCGCTTTCCTTTGTAAGAGATTTTGTAGTTTCCTTGCCGCGTCTGCTACCAACACTGTGTCATCTGCACACCTTATGTTGTTAAGATTGTGGCCGCCAATAAGGAACCCTGGTAGGACTTCAGACCGATAAAAAGAGCGAGAAACAAAAGGTGGCCGAAGTGTCAAATTTTCCAGGAAAGAAAGGCAACATGTTAAACGATCAACAGACAATAAAAATGCACTTAAAAAAAAAAAAGAAAAAAAAAGAAAGAAGGTGAAACAGATAAAGAGATAGATAGAAAAAGCGAAAGATGCAAGGAGAAAGAGGAAGAGAAAAAGAGAAAGAATTTAACAAATAGATACAGACTAAATATCAAGAAAGCGATTAATGGAGCGTGGCTTGGAGAAAGAAAAAAAAAATAAGGAAAAAATTCTAAATAAAAGTGGGAGAAAAAACATGGAAGATAAAGAAGATCGTCAAAATAGAACAGTGAGAGACTGAAAAAAAAGTGATGGACAGATAAAGAAGATCGTCAACAATTCATACAGAGACAGGAGAGAAAAGAGACACATGAACATATAGACATGTCTAAATAAAAATAAAATGTAAAGAAGATAGATATTAGGATTGGTTACCGAAAATTCGGCTTGAAGATGAAATAATCACGAACTAATATATTTTAATTTATTTAAATATATATATATATATAGTTTATGCAAAAATAAAAAATTAGGGGTTTTAATAGGATCATCAGACTTTACTAAAGGTTGAAATTTTTATATATATATATATATATATATATATATATATATATATATATATATATATATATTACACTTTATGAAACATGGTTACATCCAGGAACATTTGTGTGTTGTGTGACATACATCCAGCGAAAATAACCATAAATTTTAAAAATCAATTTTTGATTATTTTTTTACTATTGTTAATATATATATATATATATATATATTCAGGATATATATTTTGATCCTCACTGGGTGCTCCACACTTTCGACCTTGTGTGCCATAAATTGATAATTTTTAAAGGCACTTTGACGTGATGTAATCTTAAGAAAAATTAAACTGAGTAGTGACTAATTAAAAATCAGCTAAACCAGTTTATCAAAGTCCTTGTCTCTCATCACGAAGATCGATCAAAACATTCTTGTGACAAAACAATTGTGAACAAATGTTTTTTCGTTACGACCGCTTTCCAATGACCTCCTTTTCAAGATTTCATTTCCGTCTTTTGCTGAAACGTATCTGTTTTTAATCAGTATATTTCGCAAATTACCAAAAAAATTTAAAATAATTAGATAATATATAAAATTTTTTGGTTTCCTCTATTTTTATGCTTATTTTATTTATTTTTTATTTTTGGACCATTCCCTATTTCTGCTACATATTTATTTTTAAAATTGTCTTTTTAAAGTTTTTGAGATATAATATATATATATATATATATATATATATATATATATATATATATATATATATATATATATATATATATGAGCATACATTGGTGAAAAAAGATGTGTAAATTAACGTCATTTTTTTCATCATTTTTAATTTATATATATATATATATATATATATATATATATATATATATATTACCATAAATTGATAATACCGAAAAATAATGTTTAAAAACAGCTAAACCAGTTTATCATTTTCAGAGCAAAAATCTAGGACAAAACAATTGTGAACAAGTTTTTCCTCGATTTCATTTCCGCGCTGTTTTTTAATCAGTATATTTCGCATTACCAATTTAAGATAATATATATTTTTTGGTTTCCTCTCTTTTATTGTTATGATTATTTTTTAATACTTTTGTTTTTTATTGCTATAATATATATATATATATATATATATATATATATATATATATATATATATATATTATTTACTCATACATGGTGAGATGTCGTCATTTTATATTTTAATTTCGCGCATGCCGTCTATAGTAGATTCTAGGGCACCGTCTCTGAAAAAAAACACTACGACGCCAGAAGTTTAGAAACAGCATGCTGTACTGCTTGGCATTTGCACCGAAAGCTTTAATACGAAACTTTCAGTGTATTTGCGTGTTAATCTGACGACAGTGCAGAGGATCCAGTAAGTGTTGAATGAATCTAATGGTGATTACGAAGATGTTTGGAGTGAACACGCGTGATGGCGACGTTATGTCTCCAATCATCTTCCCACAGGGCCTCAAACTCCACTCGGCCTACATCAAGTGTCTCGAAGAAGTAGTTCTGCTCTGGGTCAAGAGGGTGGCTGCTGAAGAATCTATGTCTGATAACAGGACTCTGCACCATGCTACACAAGCAGACCTATACAGTCATCGCTGTCAGATAATTTCTCCCATCACATCACCCCTTACATCAGGCCACCTAACTCCCAGACGGCAACTACATAGAGACTAATAAAATTCCTTGTAACACCAAAGATGAACTGAAGACAAGGATTATGACAGCACTGATCAACTTAAACAATGACACCGTCCAGAAGAATTTCAGGAGATTCGGAAGTTATCTGGAGGCTGTAATTGAAACTAATGAAACTGAGATGAAGTATTATGATTACTTACTTTATTTAGATTATTGGAACTGTTATCCTCATCTTCATTACCATACACGCAACGTTTCGGCCGTTGACGACACATGGCCCAGTGGATAAGGACGTTGGTTAGATCAAATGTCTAGACCCAAAGAGTTGTGAGTTCAATACCAGGCTACAGCAGTGGTGAAAAAAAATACGTGGAGAGCTGATTTCAAGGGAAATAACTGAGACATCCGGAAGAGGCATAACACATGGAACTAGAATAACCTACACCGGTCGACGAAGAAAATGGTTCGTTTCGAAATTCCAATCACCAGAAGAAGGAGAGAGCTTGCAACGGCCGAAACGTTGAGAATATGGCAATGAAGATGAGGATAACAGTTCCAATAATGTAAATAATGCAAGTAATCATAATACTCCATCTCAGAGATATAGACAAATGAGGATTTTATTGAATAAGTTTACCCTTTAGTAAGTCAAATTGTAATTTGTGTATAAAATATATCTGTTAAAATGAGATGGCAAAGTTATTTCCATTTTTGCGTAATTTAGACAATTTATTCATCGTACTCTGTATACACACAGAGACACGCACACACAGATCTATGCGTGTTTGTGTATACATACACACACACACACACGCGCACACACACACACATATATGTGTGTGTGTATACACACACAGAGGCTGCGATGGATAAATTGTCGTCCGAATTATGTAAAAATGAAAATAACACTGATATGTGTGTGTGCTTGTGTGTGTTTATTAGCATGAAATCTAATGACTACTGAATGCTTTAGTGCAAGATTTATATCTAATAATTCTTTGATTTTAAATATCTTTCTGATTTCCGTTGGGGGAGGCAATATTGTTCAATATCTTCTGAGCACATCCTGTTTTCATTAATCATTAGCAACGAATTGTGTGAGTTGATACGCTTAATGTAAAACAAATTTTGAGCAACAGTGTCCGTTTTCAGTCACATCGCATCATGGATAAAACCAAACGACCAAAAATACATTTACATTTTCGAGCTGATTTTCTTTACGGTTTCAATCTTCTTTAACATTCGCATTGCAAATTTATTTGACCATTGTAAACGTATACACACACACACACACACACACACACACACACACACACATATATATATATATATATATATATATATATATATATATATATATATATATATATATATGCTTCGGTAAAGATGATTGACAATTTACTGGTATAAATCTTTTATTTAATTTTTTTGTTCGTAAAAGTGATTTCTTTTCTGGACACAAAATTTGGATGCGTAGATTTTTTTTAGGTATGTCTCTGAAGTTATGCTAATATTTTATTTTCCAAACATGGTCAGCACCTTGTGCCGTGTTCGTAATTATAGTTAGTGAATGTTGGCTTTTCTTTTATTATTATTATGACTTCCATTATTTTTAATCTGTTTTTCCATGTGGATGAGGCTATTATACTTGTATTATCTACTAGTATGTTTCAGATGGAAATTGATAAGTGTTTATTTGAATTTAATGAGGCTTACTTGACTCCTACTCAGTTTTGTGTAATGTAAGTCGTCTAGATAGGCATGTGCTAGTAATAATAATGTAATTATTTATGAGTTTGGTGTAATTAGGAACACAGATTCTTAAGGGGCATTTCAACTCGTAAATGATGTTTTTTCGTTGTAATTTTGATTTTGTTGATGTGTTGTTATTTTTTATATTTATATATATATTTGTTTTGTTTGTATTTTTTGTAGTCAATTATGTATCTGATATATTTGTTTTTATCATTTGGTTTTATATATCTAAGTATAATGTTTTTTTCATAGTTAATTGTAGTGAATTTGTTTTTGGTATTAATAGGTTTATTGCCAATATTATGTTTATGACTATATTAATGTTGCAATTGTTGTTTAAATGAAATTTGATATGTAATGACAGTATCCATTATTGATTAATGTTTTTTTTTAATATATATAATGTAATTCTTTAAAGAAAATTATTTTGGATGAGGAAATGATTTTAGCTCTTTCAGGGCATCCACTATTCTATTTTACACAGTAAGAGTTAAAAATAGTAGACTTTTGTACGGAGATGTGTTAAATTATCGCTGTTATATTCATGAGCTTTTTAGTCCAGAGTGAAACGTGATAATGTTATCTTTTTAAACGTTTACGATACTGTTGTATAAGATTTTTATTTCAGTTTGCTGTATTTATGTGGCGGTTTGGTCCGAAAATCATTAAAACGTCACTAAACTCACTAGTTGTAAGAAACTCCCCATTTGTCTCTACCTAACCTCATGATGTTGACTTAAGAAAGTCGAAAGTATGGGCCATATTTCTCTCGAACTTTAGATAATTCCTGACTGAATTTCCTCCTTATCTGAGAAGGATTATTCGTAATTTGGAAAAGTCAATCAATAAAATTAATCGGCGCCGAATTCCTTCTGATACATGGTCTATGTTCAGGAAATAGCAATAGGTTTGCCATTGGTTCCAAGTAGAATGAAAGATATACGTTTCATTACGGATCCCCATGAGGATATATAGGATTGAAGATGTGGCGTACTATCACTTACAGCAAAAGATTGGTTAAATATTCCGATATTTTCCCATGTCTACAATACATTGATACATTACTCTTTGAATTTTTCACATAAGGGGTTATCATTATCAGTCTATATTTCTGATATGAGGTATTGTGTACACTATTTACATTATTTGGACTATTGTCCTCATCTTTGTCGCCATATTTATCACAATGTTCCGGCCGTTGTACGCTCAAGGACACATGGCGCAGTGGATAAAGCCGTTAGTTAGATCCAGTGACAGTACTCAAAAAGTGTGAGTTCAAAACCTGGTTAAAGCAGTGTAGAACTGATAACTGACATCCATTAGACATGACACGTGTAACTAGAACAGTCTACCCCAGTGAGCGACATAAAGGGTTCAGTTCGACATTCCAACCACCTGAAGAAAGCCGGAGCGCACAA